TTGGTGTATAACTTAATTTAATTATGAAAAGTCCCTGTTTCAGTCTTGAATGCAATGATCAATGGTCACGATTAGCATAGCAAGTAAAGCGCCTCAATCGGCTGCCCCCCCCCCTTAATATACACACACAAGTTCAAATACGTCCCGCTGCCTATGCACAGGGACGGACTGCTCGGTGGGCAGATGCATTTAACGAATTTTTAGAAATTCATTTTAATTTTAATAGTCTAGCCAATATGTAGCATGTGATATTGCCCCGGCTGGTCCATTAATGCCTATGCACCATAAAAGGAAAAGTGATGATACTGATTCCCAATTTGTTTTTCTTACTCTTCTGTAAGAATGGAAATATATACATAATGTCTAAAGTGTTCTTTATTTGTTTTTCGGAAGCAATAAACCTCACTTCTAAGTTGACCATAGACATAACTGTCTAAAAACGTTTTCTGCTCAGACAAGTTCATAGTTCCAAGTACAAACGTTGGAGGGATATTTTTACTAGTATCCTAGTTTACATTTTCTCCCATGTATATTCAACACAACAAATTAATAAAAACAGCAATAATTATGAGAGTTGAATATTTAAATACACACATATATATTTAACTTACTTAATGTAAGCAAAACAAAACAGGTTAAAAGAAGTGGGAAAATTCTTAAATATAAACAAATTAAATAGTGTCTCTGCCTAACAAATTTTCTTACAGTCTTCATTGCAGATCAAAACGTTACTAGATTACTAGGGGTAAAATACGAAAATGATGATGAAAGAGCTTTTATATGTCATTCTAAAGTCCATAACGTGAATAGCACTCAATTTGCAAAGGAATTTCGTATTTGTTTGTTTATTTGTTTTTGGAGCAAAGCCACATTAGGCTATCTAGTGTCTCCACCGCGGGGAATTAAACCCTGGATTTTAGCGTTGTATGTCCTTATGGGGGGGGGGGGCTAACTTTTATACTAGATCCAATGTATTTACCTTTCGTTTTAGCTGTTATATGACGGTTTGGTATGGCCTGGTGGCTAGGGCATTCGACTCGCAATCTGCGGATAACGAGTTCGAATCCCATCACAGAACATGTTCTCCCTTTCAGCCGTGATGGTGTTATAATGTGATGATCAATCCCACTGTTTGTTTGTAAAGGGTAGGTCAAGAGTTGGCGTTGGGTGGTTGGTGTTAATTAGCTATCTTCCCTTGTTATATTTCATGATTCTAGGTTACTTGGGCTTCTAATAAGAAAAATCGTAGCATATTCGAAAAGGATCTTGGTTATTGTTTAAAAGTATTAGTGATAGAAAAAAATCTAAATAACATAATTTTATTTGCCAGATCTATTTATGCGTTGTGTACTTTTGGTTGATGAAGCTCGTTTGTCCGAAACGTTAACCATATGACTTTTTCCCTTTACAATGATTTGGAGCATGTATTTTCAAATTATTTTCATGATGTTGTGTGGAATATATCATAAAAAATTCCAAAGATATAGAATTTGTTACTGTATTGTTTGATATATTCTATTGCTGTGAAGGTTTTACTACTGAAGTATTTGACAATAATGGAATCGAACATTTTCGTTCTTTATTATATTTTATGTATGTGTGTGTGTGTGTGTGTAGCATTATTTTAAACTGGTTGTTTTATTCACGATGATTAGCGAGACCACTTTATTTTGAAGATTATAATAGGTAACAATAGCTTTTTAAAAGAGTAGGAGTAAGCGGAAATGAGAAAAACTCCACAGTAAGATATCCTGTGGTCATGGCACCAAAATGTCCTTCTTCCTATCTATTTTGTGGTACCCAGGTAAAACTGATTTTACTTAGAGTGATAACATAGTTCAGCTGAATAACAAGAGATTTGATAAGATGCTTATCACAGAGTAGTTCTGAATTTCTCTGAAACGAACTGAGCTCATGAGATTGAAATAAAGAGACTGGGCACGAGGTAAGGCACAATGAACAATCTTTATTATGTAACACTAATACGGGATGTTGGACAGTTGCTTTTATTGAATTGTAAGCTGTTTTCTCTCCAAACTACATGATGTGCCACTGGGGGGCAACATAAGAAAATGCTAATCGTATATGATTTTCTGTAAGCTTCATGATGTTAGAAAAACACATAGGTTCAAGAAGTCTTGATAGAAATTAATAAAAACGCTATAAACCGAGCGCTTTCGAAAAGTAGATCTTTCTTCTTCATTCTTCTTTATTTTCTGTAAGCTGCTATAAATAGTAGCAGTTGACAGATTTATATGTCCATCTCTAAATTAACACACAGTTGAGTGACATGTGAAAATATGTTGATTCACCCACTTTCCACTTGTTTGGTTTTAAATTGCAAAACAAAATAGGAAACAGGATATTGCGCAAAAACTCAAAATGGGATATCTGCGTTTTATCTAGGTCGAGGTTTCGACCTCATCTCCTATTTCCAGTGTCCTATTGCCACAGTGAGGGTGCAGACAAATCTTTACATTCCTCCATCAGAGTGTTTCTCTAACTATGTAAAAGATGTTCTGCCCTCTGTGGTTAAATGAGTAGACAGGTTAACCTCTACTTCTATCTGTTCCTACCACAGAATACAGTGAATGCTTAAGCTCATTTCCACTGGTTTCAAGGTGCAGGACCATCATTTCATTATGCACTGACATACTGGAGTCTCATTCGTCTCGACGTTATCACAGGTCACGAGCATTCTGTCACTGGATTATATGCCCTCAACATAATAAAGCAACTTAAAATAGAGTTTTGTATTCTCTTTTCCCGCCTAAAATGCATCAGAAATGTCGGCGATTAAGGCTTTGCCCCAGGCTCCATTGGGGAACTTAGAACACTCACATCAGCAAAGGAACATTTGGAGCCGTGTCCGTTGATTTTCCCTAGAGCTTAGAAATAAAAAAATGTTAACCATTTTCCACTTATAATCAATTTTTAACAACAAATAGAATTTATAGTACTATAGACAGCTTCTTTGTAATATATATAAATTTTAATTGCAAAACAAAACAGTTGATTGCTGATGATTAATAGAAGGGAATGTTTGGCATCCCGTGTGGTGGCGTTGAATGACGACACGTGCGAGACCTCTGCTCCAAGACTGTCACATGGAGCAGAGTTGTTTTCGAATTTTGGTGATCCAGTTTTCCTGATTGATCAGCTATAGGAAGGACTTAGTGAATAAAGGTCTGCCAATCTTGGTCTATTTTCTTCGAGAGTCACGATTCGCAAGTTCAGTTCTTTAATTGGCCTACTTTGTTTTTCTACTGCCATTGCTACTTAACAAGTGTGCAACATTAATGAAATATTATTTTAATTTTATTTGTTTAAATACAGCTTATTCCATTAACTTGTTTATTATTTGTACCACTTAAATTACGAACTAGCCCTTTACATTTGGCAATCAGCCATACCTCAGTTTATCGTCAATGTTAAAATGTTTTATTTATATTGCAAGCTTTGTTTGTGTGTTTGTTTCTTTCTACCACCAAATATTATTACAGCTGCCCTTCTGTCCTCGAATATCTAGTTGCTGTGAAGATCGAATAACTCTGTATTAGTTTCTCCTTGATTTACCAAAAGTGGTAAAAAATAGAGATTAGTCCCTAATGATTATCAGTGAAAGAAGATAACTGCAAGTAATGTGTCTTCGTAAAAACGAAACAGATAAGTAAGTGTAACAAAACAAAGAGATATCACTGTTAGTTTTACTGCTTTCGTTTCAGTGGTTGTATTATGAAATGTTTTACTTTTTGTACCCTTGAAATAAATTATATATATTTAAAAACTACAACATAGCTATAATTACGTTCATAAAAGCGTTCACTTCTTTATTGCAGACAAAATATTCAACACATAAACGAAATTCTTATTATATCTTGATTTCCCTGGACGTTGGGACCGGATATGGCCCAGTGATAAATCCGAGGAATCATGGTTCGCGTCCTATTGTTCCAAAATTGCACCCTCCCTTAGAAGTCGTGGGTAGGTTATAACATCAGTCAAATCCCACTATTATATTAGTGTAGTACATTAGTTGGTGATGGGTGTTATTAGCTGTCTTCCTTCTAGTCTAGTCTGTCATTTCAAATTTAAGGATAACTAGCGCATTTAGCCAGTTCTTGTGTAACTTTGCACGAAATATCAAATCAAACCTTCGACTTTTAATGGGCTCGTACCTCTTATATTCTTTGCATTTTCAAGAGTACACCTTGTCCTGAGGCTACAAGAATCAGTGGTCATTAGTTAGTTGTATTTTTGTATAAAGATACATATACATCTAAAGCTGACGCCTGCCTTGTTAATATATTGCTCGCATGGTGTCCAGATCTTATTGTTATAAGTTGTTAACATAATGCCTATGTTTGGAGATAACATAAAAACTTGTTTGTTTGTAGTTAAGCACAAAATTACACACGTTGTAAGTCAGCAGACATGCCGCTGTGCCACTGGGGGGCAATATAAAAAGTGCTAATAGTATATGATTTTCTGTAAGCTTCATGATGTTAGAAAAACACGTAGGTTCAAGAAGCCTTGATAGAAATTAATAAAAACGCTATAAACCGAGCGCTTTCGAAAAGTGGATCTTTCTTCTTCATTTTGTGTAAGCTGTTATAAATAGTAGCAGTTAATAGATTTATATGTCCATCTCTAAATTAGCACACATTTGAGTGACAATTTGATTCATCCACTTTCCGCTTGTTTGGTTTTAAATTGCAAAACAAAATAGAAAACATAATATTGGGCAATAACTCGGAAAGAGATATCTGCGTTTTATCTAGGTCGTCTCGACCTCATCTCCTATTCCTAGTGTCACAAGTTCTGGAGCCGCTGAGCCACCCGAGAATTAAAGTTATAAAAATACCTTTAACAAGCCCCCCCACCCCAGTGGCACAGCGGTATGTTTGCGGACTTACAATGCTAGAAACCTGTTTTCGATACCCGTGGTGGGCAGAGCACGGATAGCCCATTGTGTAGCTTTGTGCATAAATACAAACAAACAAAACCTTTAGCATGCCCTCTGGTGGCTCAGCGGTAAGTTTGAGTTATCATAACACTAAAATTCGGGGCTTGATCCCCGCGTTGGACAGATCCCAGATAGTTCATTGTGTAACTTTGTACTTAAGAACAAACTATTTCCAGCGCCCTCCAGTGTCTCAGCGTTAAATTTGAGAGTTTACGACTAAAAATCAAGTTCCTATATCGTCGTTGGGCACAGCGCAGGCAATATTGTGTAGCTTTGCGCTGAACAGAAAACAGACAAAATTATTCCCGACAATAAGTATTCCTTGTAAAATGTTACGAAACGTTTTCTCCCAGAAGATATTCTCCTTGCTTTGGGCTGTATTCTTTTACCTATTGATGTTCATACAACTAAATTACAATATTTTCTACCGCAGACTTGAATAATTCCTTGTACTTGGTAATAGTAATCAGGGATAGTTTCGAGTTTAATTACCATAAGAAAAAAAATAATCCTTTTATGTTTTCAGCTGCTTATTTAGGAGTCATATATCCTGGTATTTTGATGTACTTCATTTCTATATTCATGGACTAGTCCCGAAGTTCCGCATGTGTTCAGCTATTGAAATCTTTAAATCCCATGTGTGTATTATTTAAGTGGTTCTCAAGCTCTTTAGACAACAACACCTTTCCTCTTGTCTGTGATACTTCACACACCCCACACCCAACCCCCACATTGCACTACGTATACCGGTAAAAGAAAAAAAATCAATTATTCTATTGTAACTAAGTAATATCAATTAAAGTTCCCCACAGATTCAAACAGACATGCATGTAAATATGCAGTAACAGGCTGGCGGCAGTAGGGAGCCCGGACTCCTGAAGTATCGTTGCCTCCAATCTAATGCCGTCCATTACATTAATCTAATTTTAGATGTCTTAATTCTCGCCGCCACCCGCGGTTAAGAAAATCTGGAGCCGGGACTTTACAGTAATGTAACTATTTTACTAACCTATTAGCAAAGATATGTGCGGTATGTTTGTTTTTGTTTCGACACTTTCTCACGGCCTCCAACATGCCCCCTAGTTAGAGAAAACTGCTTTATATGGCTAATTAGAATGATCAGATTGAATGTTGGATTGAAGAGGACACGTGTATGTGACGCTACTAGTATACTTGTACAAGTCTTTTGGATAGAATATATTATGCTCCAAAAGTTGTTTCTTCTGCATTTAAGTATGAAACCCGATATTTGTGTGTTTTTGTTGTTGTTGTTTACTTCTAAACTGCAATAGTTTTTGGCTCCTGTTGTAGTGCACAAGGCGAACATATTTTGACATTATTTCGATGATAAATATAAATTTTATATAGTAGGGAATTATCCGAAATATGGATATCAAAAATTAAATGCAACAGTAAATAGATATTATATATATACATTTATAAACGTACCTTGAATTATAGTCACTAATAAAGACAAAACATGGTATGTTTTAGAAAAACGTTTTGTTCGTTTCCTCGGAAAGATACATCGCTCCTGTTAACCGCTCCGTCTCCATCGCAGTGATTCGAACCCCAATTTTAGTTGCACCACCGGTTACAATGCAATGGGCAAAAAATATTTTGAAAAAAAAAAGAAAGAAGATAAAACAATACAACTTACATATTTATACCTATATGGTATTCAGGTATGGGGGGGGGGTGCCCCGAGAAAACTCTACTTCACTGGGCTGCCGCCAAAAATTCTATCCAAGCCGAAATCTGAAGCTAAGAGATAAAAGAAAACAGTTATTAAAATGACAAGAAAATAATTAAGCGCTAACCAGATATATTAATAAGGCAAACCTAGTAATGTTAACACACAAGTTATGTTATGTTTCAAGTTGGATGGGGGAGAGGTACGTTTTCGGCATAAATAAGGTGTTTAACACTATGGTAAACACTGGGCTGAAGGAAAATTTCTCTTTTGTGGTTTTTTGGAAAATACGGAATTTAATTTTAGAAATTTGTTTTTAGCCTTTAGGATGGTCGAAACTTTATATACGCAGTGTGTAGATGTGTAAGTACGGAGGTGAAGTGCTATAAGTTATGTGTAGGAATATAAGTATGGAAGTAAAGTGCTATTTGTTATGTGTAGGGGTGTAAGTATAGAAGTGAAGTGCTATAAGTTATGTGTAGGAATATAAGTATGGAAGTAAAGTGCTATTTGTTATGTGTAGGGGTGTAAGTATAGAAGTGAAGTGCTATAAGTTATGTGTAG